AAAATCCATGATATTCTACAGCATGAAAGTTAGACTTGCAATACTGGGGTTTATCATCCAGGTGACTGTGCTCATCATGGACTCAACAGAGATATTCACATTGTTTAGGATCTAGCTACTACTCTGGGTACCATGTTTCTTGTTGAAAATATCTACACCATGCAGAGAGCTCCTACTTTGGGAATATTCCTCCCCCATGGGTGGGGGGTGGTCTTCATCCCAGTCCACAGAATCCTCATCTGTCAGCACAACTATGTGGCACTCTCGCTCCCCTTTCTTGGCACAGCCCACCATAATGGGCAGGATCAGCTCCTCGAGGTAGTGATCAAACTGCTTGTGAGCACCATCATTAGACAGTTCATGCAGTAAAGCACCTGGAGAGAGAAAATACAGGTGAACATGCTTTCTGTCCAAATGCAAATATTACTAAAGAATACTTATGAGGTAATGGCTATTATCACTGATAAGGTCCAGAGAAGTGACAAAAATATTGTTTGCTTCATTTCCCATTCTATCCCTCTTCAATTTACACATGTTTAATAATCCCTAAACATTCTGATCAGCTGAGGTTTATTAGATATACAGTGTCAGATCATAAATGTTAATTCTATAAGAGATGGAACCATACTCTGGACCTGGATTTCATGGAGTTAGAATAGTACAGGAATAATCTGAATTTTGCGGACACCAAAGGACTTACTCTAAATGTATACTAGACCCAATACAGAAACCACAAGTTCAAAGGTCTATGAACTGAGGGTGACAAAGTAAGCCTGTCTTAAAAAAAAAAATTAACAAAGAAAGAAAAAAAGAGTTGCGATGCCAAGGTCCCAAGAGAGAAGCAGTAAGCAAGCTTGGTTACTCACTGATTAAAGCTAGATTTAGAACTAATACTTGTTTTCCTTTATTTATTCCATCATAGTGCTTTGAAGAAAGAGGGAATGGATTAGTATCACCTTTCTGTCTATGGACATAATTTTCAACCCACACTTGAACCTCTTGTTTAGTTAGCCGGGTGTTGTGGCAGGCGCCTATAGTCCCAGCTACTCAAGAGGCTGAGGCAAGAGAATCACCTAAGCCCAAGAGCTGGAGGTTGCTGTGAGCTGTAATACCAAAGAACTCTACCGAGAACAACAAAGTGAGACTCTGTCTCTAAAAATAAAAATAAATAAAAGAGAAACTCTTGTTTAGTAATAAAAAATATTAGTCACTGACAAGCAAACTCAAAGTTTAGCAGCTCAAGTGTACATGTTAGTTGTTCCTGTACTTACTCAGATCCTGACATCGGATAGTGTTGAAGTCAAAATTAATGCAGAGATAATCACATGTATCTCTAAGATCTGGGATAGAGATACCATCAGGACAATTAATGATACCAGTTTTGTAGTAATCCTGTAAACAGATTAGGAAAAAAATGTAGGCAAGGAACAAAATGAATAATTACTTCTTCATTCCTATTCATTCTTGGTTCTTTTAAAGCAATGGGTTACTTGAATTATCACCAACTTGGATGATTCATCAGATGGCAAAGCAGCTCCTGACTATCCTGACATGTTTAATTAGAACTTGTTCACACAAACATGACAAACAGGAATAAAGAGGGCAAAGAAATAACTGGAAACCTTAGACCCTAAAGTTAGTAATATAGCTGACGGAAATCAAAGGCCACTGATCATGAATGTTGCTGGGAAGATGATTTAATAAAAAAGGCTTCTGGCTGGTCACCCACAGCTCAGTGGGTAGGGTGCCAGCCACATGCTCTGGGGCTGGTGGGTTCAAACACAGCCTGGGCTTGCTAAAAAAAAAAAAAAAGCCAAGCATTGTGGCAGGTTAGTAGTTCCAGCTACTAGGGAGGCGGAGGCAAGAGAATTGCCTAGAGTTTGAGGTTGCTATGAGCTATGATGCCATGGCACTCTACTGAGGGTGACAAAGTGAGACTCTGTCTCAATTAAAAACACAAAAAAACAAGCAAATAAAAGGCTTCTTTCTACATACCAGCACTGTACGAAATACAGTTGCACTGATTCCTTCAGCAATTTCATATTCTCCCTTCTCATTGGGCCGTGTGAAATTGTACTCTCTTCCTGGCCCAAACATCCTGAAAGACACCCAGACAGGAATGTTACATTCTCCAGGCAGGATTCTTCACCAACTAGACTTCTCTCTTCTTTACCTCATTCTGGAAGACTCCATTTCACTCTTTTATAGTGTAAGTTAAAAACATAACACTGGGGCCAGCACCGTGGCTCACGCCTGTAATCTTAGCACTCTGCAAGGCCAAGGTGAGAAGATTGCTTGAGTTCCGGAGTTCAAGACCAGCCTGAGAAAGAGTAGACCCCATCTCTACTAACAATAAAAAGAATCAGGTGTTGTAGTGCACTCCTGTAGGCCCAGCTCCTTGGGAAGCAGACACAGGAGGATGAGGTTGCTGTGAGCTAGGCTAATGCCACTGTACTCTAGCTTGGGAAAACACTGAGACTCTGAACAGAATGAAGAAAGTCAAGGAATGGAGAGGCTAATGTTGATGCTGGCCAAAGGGAAGGAATAAAGACTTTACAGTGATGTTATCAGCAGCTGTCGTGTGGATTTTTCACAAGAGGATTAATAAAGACTGAAAAAAAAAAAAAAAAAGAGGGCCAGGCGCCAGTGGCTCACACCTGTAATTCCAGCACTCTGGGAGGCCAAGACGGGTGGATTGCCTGAGTTCACAGGTTTGAGACCAGCCTGAACCAGAGCTAGACCTCATCTCTAAAAATAGCCAGGTGTTGTGGCAGGCGCCTGTACTCCAGCTATTTAGGAGGCTGAGGCAAGAGAATTGCTTGAGCCCAGGAGTATGAATGAGGTTGCTGTGAACTATGATGCTATGGCACTCTACTGAGGGCAACAAAGCAAGACTCTTTTTTTCTTAAGACAGAGTACTATGTTGCCCTCAGTAGATTGCCGTGGCATCGCAGCTCACAGCAACCTCAAACTCTTGGGCTTAAGCAATTCTCTTGCCTCAGCCTCCCAAGTGGCTGGGACTACAGGTGCCCGCCACAATGTCCAGCTATTTTTGTTTTGTTGTAATTGTCATTGTTGTTTGGCAGGCCAGGGCTGGGTTTGAACCCGCCAGCGCTCGTGTATGTGGCTAGTACCCTAGCCACGGAGCTATAGGTGCTCAGCCAGAAGACCCTGTCTTTTGAAAAAAAAAAAAAAA